CATTTATTCATCTCCTGTTTATTTCCCACCTCTGTCTTCCACCTGTCCGACACGTGTGAGCAGCTGCGTTGTTATGTACACTGCAATGCTACTCTGCCTTCTCATGATAGCAACATTATTTGTTTCAGCAAACGAAGAATATGGGACCATTTTAGTTATGAGTATTTGCGCAGGTAGTAAAAAATTTCAGTCTAACCCCTTTAATAATTCATGAAACTTAGACATAATTTCTCACTTATATTTATTGGTTCTACTCTTTTCCTAAATAAATAAATGTAATTTCAATGTCCACTGTGCGGAAAAGCTTTTTCCTGTCACGGCACAATAAACCAATACCTTTTGGTATCCGTGAAAGTGAGTTGCACAATCGCGATCAATTTGGATCACTTATTAAGTATGAACTATTTTAAGGAGGGTGTTTGGATTCCAGGAATGCAGAAATTGAGTTATCAAAATGACGGTGTTTTTTGTTATTTTTTAATTTTTTTAATTTTCTTTTCCTATATCTAATTAGACTTGATAATTTGTTTTGAGTAGAAGTCATTTGTCAATCGGCATTATCATAAAGAATTCAGGAATCGCAGCAAGCTGAGCGATTGCATATTAGAGGCTCTCAATAGCGGAAATCCTTAAATTTGATCCTTCATCATCTAATAAATTATTTTGACGTTTTAGGCATTTACTTTCTGAATCCCAAAATTTTAGAGAGGATGCCACTTACCTGCCAATATTCCTCTACATCCTTCTCGCGCCGAGCCAATTTAAATCTTTACATCGCTGAAGTCCATGACGGTTAGTTGAATACGTCCTAATATTTATTGTAGATTTTAAGCGTTTACTCTTAGTTGTTATGTAATATTTATCTCCTCAATTTCTGCTTTTGTTAGGTGGCTTTATTACTGCAAGTATTGCAATGAATCCTTCTCACAGCGTAGCTACATGAACAGACATATTACTGCTAAACATGGGAGAGACTTAAATGACTCCTGAACGTGCTTTCATCCTCTTATATTTTTCCTGCAATTAAACAATTTTGTTCTATCTACTTCATCATATCCTTAGGGAGGTCGTTAGGTGAGATCACCTCCTATGACTTATTATAATTTACTCAGAAAGGGAAACAGTTTTGAATTTTCGCATTGTAAAGTATTATTCTAACCGCATGGTGGGTAGCTTTTTCATATTAATGGGTAAACAATATAATGCAATATAATGCAGGAGACCATTTAATACTACTGCGAATTTGGCTG